AGAATTTTTCAATTTGATCCTCTCAAACATATAACCTCTGGCTTCTTTACCAAAGCCAGTCATGGTATATGTTGCGATGATTCTGTTCTACCCAGGAGAAAAATGAAACACAAGGACAGAGTCCAGAGAGAGACACTATAGTCAAGAAGCTGGAGTGACAAGGTTGCACCTGCAAAAACATCCATCTTTTCCTTTTTTCAGGTCTGCCACTTCTGAGGTCATCCATATTTTCATTTCCTACTATGGAAGGTAGCCAGAAAATTAAGCTCATGGTGGCTATCAGAAAGACAGCCTGTTAGAAACAGACTAACACAAGGATTGGAGTGGACATGGAAGGAAGAATTTACAGTTCACAAACTTGCCTTCCTTTACCTTGAAAATGAGTCAGGTGAGTTTGTGTGTGTGATTTTTAATCTTTTTGTCTTTTCCAGAGATACATTGTGGGGTGGATTCTATCTAAGTTTCCAAACCAATAAGCAAATAGGGTTAAGGATCTAAAAGTATGGGGCCAGAGTTTTGGTGGGCCATCTGTGGGTGCCCACACCCCATGACATGGGTTCATGTCCCAAGTACTCCACTTCTGATCCAGCTCCCTGCTAATGGCCTGCAAAAGCAGTCAAGGATGATCCAAGTGTTTGGGATCCTGTACCCACGCGGGAGACCTGCATGAAGTTCCTGGCTATTACAGTCATCTGTGGCATGGACATCTTAGCCACCATACCAAACATCCACTCCCAACAGGGAACTTTTGGGGGAGCCCTACTATACAGATGTTAGAGATCTGTGAAACAAAGCAGTATGCTTGACTTAAATATACGAGCACACACACAGATGATCCTCAACTGAAAAGTGGTATATATTTCAGCAGAAATTGTACTTGGATTTTGAGTTTAGATCTTTTTTCTGGGATAACACCCATGTAGGGTGATATTCTGGTCAATCAGCCGTACCTTCAGGAGGGGAAGCCAGCAGGAACACAGTAAGTCTCGTGGCTAGGCTGGAATGTTGGTTACATTAGGAGGTACCACTTAGACTGTTTCAGGACACACTGCCACTCTAAGTCAGTGAGCACTTCCTACAGAATTATAGGAGCTACGATCAGGAAACATCAGTGTGAGACTCCCTGAGCTCCCGCCTGGGCATCCATCAATTGCTCTTCTGAGAGGTAAAATCAGAACACACTGACTTGGGAGCTACTTTTGGAAACCGGTCCATCTGGCTGTTCTGAGTTTGGAAAAGAAACACCACCAGATCCACATTTAGATCTCTCCGTGTCCTCTGCCAAGTGTGCACAGACCATACAAGACCCTCACACTGTGCTCATGTTACACTTTTGGTTACCACTATAGGGTTTTTTTTTTCTCTACTTTGTTTCATAAATTATGACACACATTCAGCTTCTTATGTCTGAATCCACTCCCTTCCATAAAATCATTTGTCTATGTGCGAACGTTGGTGTGTGGGTGGTGCACGTGGCGGTGCATGGGTTGGTATGCACAGGAGTTTTGAGTGATGCTCTTGCGATGTCTCTCTAGAGGGTGAACTAAGGTGATAGGTCCTAACAAGCTTCAGCAGATGCAGTAAATCATGGTCAGAAAGGAGAATGACCTAATAGTGGCTTTGCTACCCCAAAGTCTGTCTCTCAGCACCAGTCATGAGATATGGTCAAGAACGACGTGCTATGGATTGTATTTTACTGAAGGAAGGCAATGCAGATGTTGAGAAACAGGAAGAATCAGAAACTAGTCTAGTTGAAAATAAGGGCAAGAGAGGGAACAATTAATTGCACAATTCAGAATACTAAAGTGGTTAAGTGAACCAAATCTTAAGTATTTCTGTTTCTCTAATATACATAAAAGAAAAATGGTTAGTAGATGAATTTGAACACAAAATCTAAGTCTGAAATCCCATAGCTCCCTTAAATTCTAAGTTCAAATGTATCAGAAGAACTTAAAAAAATGAAAAAACAAAAATCTAAGGTCCATGGCAGCTGCTGGCCAGGAGCTGGAGCCACTGCTTAGGGCTTCTGTAGCCCCTATCAGAGTGTGAATTCAAGTCCTGAGTGCACTTCCAATTCAGTTCTTGCTAATGTGCTGCCTCCCAGAATGCCCACCACCCATGGGGGAGGCCTAGCTGGAATTCCCTGCTCCTGCCATCAGCCTGCCTGACCCCTGCTGCTGTGGGTTTTAGGGGAGTGAACCAGCAGATGAAAAACCTCCACTTTCCCCTTCTCTCCACGTGTCTCTTCCTTTCACACAAAGAAAACTTAAGAACCAACTGAAGCAAAACTTAGGACTGGCAGATTCAGGCATAAATTGCAGAATGAGTTTTTCTAGCAGGGCAGGCAGGTGTGCTACAGAAAATCCTTCTAAGCTCTCCCCAGAATCTAGGTTATGCATCATAGACTCAGCATGTATATATTTTACATTTTTGCTGCTCTCCAAGCTTCATCTGTTTCTGGACTCTGGCTGCAGGGTGGCACAGCTCTGGCCTGGCATGGCTGGAGCCCCTGTTCATCCTCCCAGCCCACAGCCAGGGCTGAGTGTTTTTGAGCGTACTGTGGGGAAGACATGATGGGCACATTTCCCATGATGATCTCTGGGTGTCACCTGTCCAGACTCTCAGGTCCTCTCACACCTCTGGCCACTTACAGTGACAAATTACCTACTGTCTTATTGACCACGACCACCACCTTCTCAAACTTGGGGTCCACGGTCCCCCTCGATGCAAGGGGACTCCCTTGAGCTCAACAAAGGTTGAATGCTTCTTATATGCTTGGTTTCCCTTACTGTATAATTGAAATGCTGTTACTAAAGGGAATGGCTAATTCAATGGATTTACCAACAGGGATGTGCACAAAAGATCAAATTAGATGTGAACACCAATCCTACTTACATTGGAATAGAAACCACGGAAAATTCCAGAACAAGGGTGGGCAGATGAGGCAGCTCTGGTAAGACAGCCAGGGGTAGATCTTCTGATGACTTTACACAAATCCAGGGGCATGTGACTTCTGCAGAGGAAACTTCTACAGAGAGGTGTAAGGACTCCAGGATCTGAGTTTCTGCTATCCATGTGGCAGATCTGGTTTGAGTTCCTGGCCCAGTCCTTACCCTGGCAGACATTCGGGGACTGAACCATTGGATGGGATGTCTCTTTCTCTTTGCCCCTCAAATAAAACACTCTAATAAACAGTGACATTTTGGTAATATCACCATTGTATGTTGAATCTTTATGTACTTGGGTTTTTTTTTCATTGTCCTGTGTATTTGTTTTCTACCATAGCAGAAAAATATATAATCCCACCAGCTGACAGCAACATCCATGGTGCCCAAAGTCAGGAGTGCCAGCACAGCCTCGCATGGCTGGGTTCTCCACAGGCTCAAGTCAGGCTTAGATATTTCAGGCTTGTTTCTGGCCGAATCCAGCTCCTTGTACAAGACAGGTAAAGTCTCCTTGCCTTGCTGGCTTTGGCTGGGGGTTGCTCTCAGTCCTGAACACCTGCTCTCAGATACATGACAGGAGGTTCCCTCCATCTCCCACCTCAGTGGGGAATCTCCCTGGTGAGGAAGCCACCCGCTCCTGTGAGTCTCTAGGGAGAGCCCAAGTGCCTCTCTAGAGCTTCTCTGATTGGTCAGGCACCTCAAGAATCATCTCTGCATCTCAAGCGCAATTAATTTAGGACTTTACACCTAAAGAGTCCTTCACAGCAGCCGACTGGAGGCAGATGGGCGTGTTTGGTCAGCTGTGCAGGGGACGGCTGAGAAGAACGCCTGGTTTACAACCTGTAGGTTCCACATGCAAAGTTAAGCCACCACCATGTAATGCTGGCATCGCATAGGAGTGCCCGATGAAGTTCCACACTCCTGATCCTTTGGTGGAGTGAGCCAGCTGATGGAAGATCTCTGTCTCTTCCTCTCTCTATGTAACTATGCCTCGCAAATTAGAAAAAGAATTAAAAAAAAATTTCCTTGGTGGCAAAAAAACCACGCCCCGTGCATGTTGCTCTTACACCCAGTACCCAGCACGAGCTTCATAAATGTTCACTGAAGTGAACCGAAGTGCGTTCCAGGAGGCCAGGAAATAGCCAAGTCAGATCATCATATAGCAGCATTAAGTTCTAAGTTGAGGACCAACTTCCAATAGAAAAAAAGTATATTTAAAAAAAAAATGAAAGAAAAAAGGATTCGACTTCCAGGATGATTTTAGGCAAATCACCAAAACCTCTTCCCCACCAAAAGATGAGTTTCGCTTTGGAACTGCTCCTTTGATTCGCTAAGGGGACTTGAGGGACTGTCCGGAGGGAGGAATTCCCGCCTCGGTGCTGCGAGGAGCGCAGAACCTTCCAGAGTCTCCTCAACTGAGGAGAGGGCGTGCAGCTGTCACTGCGGCTGATTCCTCGGGTTTACGTGCCCGGAGCGAGAGCAGCCAGGAAGGCACACCTCAGGGGCAGAAGCGGGTCGAAAGTTCACAGAACAAGCGTGGCTGGTAGCGCGGGACCACGGCGAAGCCGTCCTCCCGGCTCGTGCGATGCGCGCCTTCTGCCCCCTTCCTATTCCGCTACATCCGCCGGAGGAAAGGGACTTCAGGTTCGGAAGAGGAAGCTCTGTGTCCCCCCGAAATGTCCCAAATAGCTTCACGCCAGGTCCAAGTTTACCTCAGCGTGAACTGCGCTGAGGAAAACGCCTCAACCGCCGCAGCCCGGCCGGCCACGAACCCGGGCCCGCGCCGTGACGTCACCGAGCTGGCGGGCCGCCGCGCCGATTGGCCGGGGTCCGTGACGTCACGGGCCGGGGCGGTCCCCGCGCTCGCCCAGGAGGCCCCGGGATGCTCCGGGTTTGCCGAAAACTCCCGGGGCCCTGGGAGTAGGGAGGAGCCGGGGAGGCGAAGCAGGAAACCCCGGAGGCTGCGGAGGGGCGGCGGCCACTCCCGCCCGGCCGCGCCGGCCCCTCAGGGTCCGCCCGACCGGGGGCGGAGCAGGCGGGCCGGCGCGGGGAGGAGCCGCGCGCACGGCCCGCGCCGTCCGCCGCCCGCCCCGGCTGCATCCCGCATGTAAACAGTCGCCGCGGGTTCGAGCCGCGAGAGCCGGTGTGGGGGAACACCCGCGCCACCCCACGCCACGCCACGCTGCGGGGCCCGCCCGGGAGGAGACGCCGAGAACCGGAGGCGGCGGCTGGGCACGGCGACGGCGGCGGACGCGATGGATTTCCAGCAGCTGGCGGACGCTGCGGAGAAATGGTGCTCGCACACGCCCTTCGAGCTCATCGCCACGGAGGACACCGAGCGCAGGATGGATTTCTACGCCGACCCCGGCGTCTCCTTCTATGTGCTGTGCCCGGACAACGGCAGCGTCGACAATTTCGTGAGTGCAGTGCCGTGGGGGAGAGACTGGTCGCCGGGGCGGCTGCGGGTACCGGGCAGTGTATAGGGTCGGGAGGAGGGCAGGCGTACCCCGCCGCCGCCCCGGTGCTTTGCGCTCCCGCGGAGAAGCCCTGGAGCCGGGTGTGGCGGAGGGCGCCCTTAGGACCCGGGAGCTAGGCTGTGGTGCAGGAGGGGTGGCGGCCCCTGGAGTCCATCCAGCCTTGGGTCTTGCCAGCGCGCCTTCAGGGACGCGACCCCGCGGCTCGGGTGCGGTTTTTTGGCCTAGGGGACTTCTTGGGGTGTCCGCGGACAGGGGCTAGGCGAGTGGATCCTAGCAAAAGCTCCCAAGTCTGGAACCTCTGGCAATCCAGGCTTCCTGTCCGCGAGAGGAGCCCGCTCCTCTCCTGCGCAGAGCACAACTCCTCGAATTGCCCCGCACCCCGTGCGCGCTTGGCGCTGTCTGCTCGGGACACAAAGCCTCTGGCCGCACAGCTGCTGCAGCAGCTCTCGGACATTCCTTGCGGATTCTCTTCCCGAGTCTCCATCCCAGCACCCTCGGGCGTGCCAGGACTCGCTCCTAGGACCCCCGACACACACATACACACAACCTGGACCTGTGCTATCGGGAGCTCCCACTTGACTGCCTGTGACCACTTGGGATCGTGGTGTTGGCGGAGGAGAAGGGTGTTGCCAAGGGCCAGGAGTTGGGATGAGGGTGGCGCTCTGTGAAGACTAGGAATCAATGATGGTCCCCAATGTAAGATGGAGGCGACTGTGGGTGCGGGTTGCGGTGTGGTCGGCGGCCAGCGGCCGGAGCGCTGCCGCCGCCCCTTGCGGACTCGGGTGGCAACGCGGGTGCAACCTGGTGCAGGCTCCGCAGGTGGGGGCACCGCTGGGGGCCCAGTCCCTCCGCAGCGACTTAGCGGGCACTTGGGAGGGCGGGACCTCCCTGTCTGGTCCCTGGGAGGCGACAGCTAGTGCCCAATAAAGCGGGTCTCTCCCACCACCTCGCCGGCTCGGACGGCGACCCGCCTGAGTTCAGGTGTGCAGGTGGGAGGCTCCAGCAGAAAAATGGCCTGGGGTGGGGAAAGGGGGCGTCCACTGGCAGACTGTAACTGCTGCTTTAGGACTGGGGCCCCATGCTGTACGCCCTCCCCCACTCCTCAGGCACACTGTCCAGGTCCAAAGTGTGAATGTAATGATGCCAGTGCCCAGCAACAGACCGCAAATTTGGTGTCACAGATCCTGTCTTTTCAAAGTTGAGAGCCTCTCTGTCTTAAAAATGGAAAACTCAGTTTTCTCACCTGTGAAGTGGGTTTAATAACAGATGCCTTCTTCAGCAGGTATTAAAGGCATTTAAGATTTATTTATTTTTATTACAAAGTCAGATATACAGAGAGGAGGAGAGACAGAGAGGAAGATCTTCCATTCGATGATTCACTCCCCAAGTGACCGAAGCCAGGAACCAGCAACCTTTTCCGGGTCTGCCACATGGGTGCAGGGTCCCAAAGCTTTGGGCCATCCTCGATTGCTTTCCCAGGCCACAGGCAGGGAGCTGGATGGGAAGTGGAGCTGATGGGATTAGAACCGACACCTATATGGGATCCTGGCACATTCAAGGCAAGGACTTTAGCCGCTAGGCCACGCCGCCGGGCCCTAAAGTCAGCATTTTCTATGTGAGGACATATTAACTACACTTAAAATAAGTCAGTCTAACTTCTTATGCAGAGAAATGGAGAATCATTCCAAAGGGGCTTCATTCCATTGCCAGAGTGAGAAAAGCACAGCCCCATGGCTGCAGTAGGCAGACCCCAGTGTCCCCCAACAATAACCAGCAGGGGAGCTGTAGGGACCAGACCCAGGAAACTGGTGCTAAGGAGAGTAGGTGAGCAGCTGAGAGAAAGGAAAAACCTTGGACGTGTGTAATGCCAGCTTTGAGAAGCATCCCATGGAGCCCTTTTCAAGGCCACCTGTAGGAGGAAGTGTTTATTCTCTGATGATGTCGATGGAATAGACAGGAAAGATGGGAGGTGGGAGCCAGGGCGAGAACAATTCTTTGCACAAACTGGAATTTTCTCAAAATTCTTGGAGGCTATAATGCCTGAGATGCCAACAGTAGGAGGCTTTTGTTTTTGTTTGTGGCTAACTCTGGGTTTGTGTGTGTGTGTGTGTGTGTGTGTGTGTGTGCGCACACGCTCCCATTTGCTAATTCGTTCTCCAAATGTCCCCAGTAGCCGAGAGGCTAAAGCAGGAGCCAAGAATTCAACCCAGGTTTCCCATTTGGGTGGCAGGGGCCCCATGTGCTCACTGCTGCCTGGTGGCATAAAGCCTAGGGGGAAGCCAGAGTCAGGAGCCAAACCAATAGGGAACCCAGGTGCCCTGACAGAAGACTGAGATGTGTAGCTGCTAGGTTAAATGCCCACCCAGAACCTCTTCCTCAGCAAGTCCCAGGCAGGCTTGCTGAGCTGCTGATGGCCTCTAAGTGTATCTAGGTTCTTTTCATGCGCTCTCAGGAAAACAGTAAGAAAATCAGAGTAAATTTGGGTGAAATCCCTGTTACTGGAGGAATTTGTTAACAGCACAGGTGTTTGCATGCATTTCTCAATTCATTCAGTCAACCAGCATTGATCAAGGGTACAACGCTGTATCCTGAGTACCTGTACACCCATACACCTTGGCCACCCAATTCTGGGTTTCAATGAATGGAAACAGGGTCTCTGCCCCTGTGATGTCTGGGTCCTTCCAACTGTCTAGGAGAAAGTATGGTGTTGTACGGTGATTTGTGGGGGTCGCGTCCTAGCCCCCCACTTCTGTGCTTTGTGAAAGCTGTTTCCTTTAGCCAGTCTATGCTACAGTTTCCACATCTGGAACATGAGGAGGATAGCAGCCATACCTCCCTGAAAGGGTTGTTTGATAACAGTGCCCAAAGTGAAGACGATGTGTGAGTGACTGTGGCAGCCTCGAGACCAGCCACCTGCTTGCACGGAGTGTTCCGTAGCTGTCAGCCCAGCTTGCTCTTCTTATATCTGTTGCCACCATCCATCTGGTTGCTCAAGTGAGAGATCTCAGGGTCTGCCTTCTCTCCTCACCACTCTCCACATCCAGATCTTCCCGATCCTGCCAGTGTTAGCATAGAAGATGAGCAGGGTGCACCTGTTTGCCTGTAATCCCATGCTATAGCACTTGTGTAAGCCACTGGGCCTTTTCCTTCTGTCTCCTATTTTGCCTCTTATGTGTAACCCTCACTGCCACCCTCAGTGAGTCCCCACTCAGCAGTGTCCTGGGCTCTCTGGTCAATATAGGAGCAGGTCGTGTGACACAGCAGTCATGGAACTGCTTGGGGCACCTGCATCCCGAATCAGGGAGCCAGGATTCAAGTCTTGGCTCTGCTTTGAATTCCATCTTCTGCTAACACATATCCTGCAAGGCTACAGGTGATAACTCAGTTATTTGGGTCCCTGCTATACCTAATGGGAGGCCCAGACTGAGTTCCTGGCTCAGCTGTGGCCCAGCCTACTCTGTTGCAGGCAATTGGAGAGTAAACCAGCAGGTGGAAGTTTCCACCAGTGTCTCTGCCCTTTATAAACCTGTGAGCCAACCTCTGCCTTACCTGACTTAAATGACACTGCATTATGTTTGCAGTGAAGGCTCTCTCATCTGATTCTGCCCTCAGTTTCCTCCTCTATCACATGGATATCATCTAGCCAGCCTGCATTGTCATTGAGAGGACTGAATGAGGACTGGTGGGTATGACTGCCTAGTGGACAGGCCATGCAGCCTTCCTCGATGGCTGAGCATTGTCCATACGGGGGAGATGATGTGTCCCTGGTCTGTGCATGGAATGGTCAGCCCCAGGAGACAAAATGGTGGCAGGTGAGCCCTGCAAGTGTCACGGTATCCCATGACTTAGGCTGAATGTGCTGAACTGTTCTGTTCTGTCCCACCCCTGCCCCTTGGTCCCTGTGTGACCTCAGGCAGGTAGCATACATAACCGTTCTGAGCTTTAGGCTCCTCCCTGGTAAGTCCTGTCTGTAGCCCACACACAGAACTGGTGGCTGCTCCTAGGTGTGACCACCCATGCTCTTCCCACTCTATACGCAGGGGCAGTGTGGCATGAGATGGCAGCCTGTGGACAGGAATAAACCACAGATTTCTGTAGTAAGGACTCCCTGGCTCTGGGAGAGAGAGGGCACCCACACTATGGGGCAGTTGCCCCTCTTGTCTCTGTTGGGGACTGTCCCAGGAGTGCCATGTGGACTGCAGAGCTACAGATGGCCCAGTACTTTAGATGAGATGGTATTGTACTGCCGTATCAGCCCCTCAATCTTCTGCCAACCTTAGATCAACTCTGGGCTCCCAACAAGACCTAACCATGGCAGTGTCATGTGAACAGTTCTCAGACTGCCTTGTGCAGGGACTCGAGGTAAGGTCAAAGAGCCCTATGCGTTCAGCACACATACAATTCTTTGTCTCATTTTGATCCCTACTTGCTGGGATCCAGGGTATGGAGCCTGTGCGTGCTAGGGACAAGCTGCACCGCAGTGACAATGAAGGGCCTCTAGGCGCAGGACATTGTGTTCAGAGAGGAGAGGAGCCAGGAGTGGTTTGTTTTGTTTGTTTTTAAGATTGATTTTATTTATTTGAAAGGCAGAGTTACACAGAGAAAGATGGGGTGACAGAGATGGAGATCTTCCATCTGCTGGTTCACTCTTCCAGATAACCTGAAGGCCAAGGCTGGGCGAGGTTGAAGCCAGGAGCTTCTTGCACGTCTCCCAGGTACGTGCAGGGCCCAAGCACTTGAGATATCAGCTGCTTTCCCTTGCATATTAGCAGGGAGCTGGATCTGAAGTGGAGCAACAGGGTCACCCATATGGGATGCCACTGTAACAGGTCTCGGCTTAACCGGCTACATTGCAATGCCAGCCCCTGGTGTGTTCTAAAGCCCCTGGCCCGGCTTACCCCCAGCAGTGCAGTAGAATCCTCACCAGAGCTTAACAGGGTGTGCCTCTAGGGTTTTGTAGGATAAAGGTGCCTGCGTGATACAATGCCAGCTTACAGCAAACTGCAATCTTCATGGAGGAAGCAGAAAGGTGTTCATTCTCCTGTCTTCTATAGCTGATAGGGCTTTGTTGTCCTCTGTAGGCTGAGCTTTTATGGTAAACACTAGCCCATCCTGAAAGAAAGAAGGGCCACACATGCATCCCACCTTGTGGCAGTCACTAATGACACCATTTAAGTTTATCCAAAACCAACACTCCCACCCTCGCCCCTTCACGTATGGACAGAATTCTGCTTTACTTGTGACTCTCAAGGTGTCCCCCAGACTGGCACCTGGAAATCTACCACCTACATTTTTTGGAAATGTAAATTCTTAACACAGATAGTGCTTCCCCATCCCAGGTGACCTAAACACACATAAAATCAAAACCCCTGAGGTGAGCATTTGGTGCAGAGATGAAAATGCCCACATCCTGTACCTGAGTGCCTGGGTTTGGTTGCAGCACCACTCCCCTCCGCCCCTCAGCTGCTACTGATGCAGCCTCTGGAGGCAGCCGGCGATGACTCAGGTAGTTAGGTCCTTACTGCCCATGTGGACTGGTTGCTGGGCTCTTGGCTTTGGCCTGACTCAGCTCTGGCTGTTGCAGTCTTTGAGGAAGTGAACCAGCAAATGAAAGATCTCTTTCTACCTGTCTGTCTGCTCTTGTCCTCTGCCTTTCAAATAAAATTTTAAAAATGAAGATTCATTCAGAAACCCTGGGATACTCTCTACAGCTTGGGAAGCCCTACTGGCCTCCCTTCCTGATGTGTCTTCCCTGTTCCGGGGAGTCTGTGGCCTGCTTTGCCCCAGCTCCCTACTTGATGGTCAGCACATTGTGTTGCTCCATTTGGATTTTCCGTGGCGTTGGTTATCACTTCAGTGGTTTCCTAGCAAAGCAGGTGTTGGGTTTCACATATCTTCAACAATTTTCCTGTTAAAGTCATGTGTCCATGCCTTGTGGCAAGCGATGCTTATCTTTAGTTCCCCATCCTGTTTTCAGCATGATCTGCCCTGTCCCCAGATACACATCAGGCCCCCCTTGGCTTTTGAAAGGTCTGTTGGTCCTCCTAAGTGCCCATCTGTCTTGTCTCTAAACACAGCCTCAGCTAGGTGTAGCTCCTTATCCCATCCAGTGATTCACTCCCCAAATGCCTGCTACAGCTGGGGCTAGGGCAAGCTGAAAACTCAGTCCTAGTCTCCTTCATTGGGTAGGAGGGCCCCAAACAACTTGAACTCTGATTTGTGATACAAGTTTGCCAAAGGACAGCTGAACTGCTGCACCACAGGGCCCATCCAAAATAATATTAGTGAAGTGGCTATGGTCACTTGAGCTTTTCTCCAAATCCTATACTCCCTTGTTTTTGCCCTATGGGCAAGGGTCAAGGTAACAGTATTTTCTAAACCTGCTTAGCTCAGAATCCCGGCCAGGCCAAATGAGGAAAATGCAGACAGAATGCTGTTGAGCGGGTGAGTGTTCCTTGTCTAACTTGTATTTGTTGCAAAGGAAGTCCCAAAGTAAAGGAGCAATGGTTATATAGCACGAGTAGCTTCCTCAGAAAGTTAGAGAGGCCTCAGAAACATCTAGCTAAATAAACTGATCAGCTCTCGATGCTGGGGGTGTTGTTGTTCTCTTACTGTTTGAGTGATACAGTCTGCTCAGGTCACTTTATAGTTTGAAGCTCGAATGGACCTTAAAAATCCTCACAGGTCTGTAAGTTTTTCGTATTCACACCAGCCAAGTTGTGGGTCGATGTCCTTGGTGAAGTCATACTGCCTGGCTGTTTTGCAACTTGTGTGACCTTGCCCTTGAGCCAGGTGAAAAGCACCTTCCCCTCTCGCCCCTGGAATGTAAAAGGGCAAGGAGCAGCTTAAATACATGGGGTCTTCAGAAATTGTTATGGAAAGTTAGGAAAAAATTCTTAACGGATTTCAAGGTTTTTTGCTTTTTTTTTTTTTTTTCTGGCATCAACTTATCTTTTTTTTCCCTCCCATTTTAAAAAAAGATTTGTTTTTTACTTATTTGAAAGGCAGAGTTACAGAGAACTCTGGTTTGCTCCCCAAATGGTTGTAATGGCCAAGACCAAGTCAGGCCAAAGCTTGGAATTCTATCAGGTCTTCCTCTTAGGTGCAGGGGCCAAAGAACTTGGGCTGTCCCCCAACATTGTCCCAGGTACATTAGCAGGAGGCTGGATTAGAAGTGAAGCAGATGGATCTGGCACAGTAGCCTACTGGCTAAAGTCCTCACCTTACACAAACCAGGATCCCACATGGGTGTCAGTTCATATCCTGGCTGCCATGCTTCCCATCCAGCTTTCTGCTTGTGGCCTGGGAAAGCAGTAGAAGATGGCCCAAAGTCTTGGGACCCTATACCTGCATGGGAGACCCGGAGAAGTTCCTGGCTCCTGCCTTCAGATGAGCTCAGCTCCAGCTGTTGGGGTCAGTTGGTGCCTGAATCAGCAGAAGGAAGATCTTCCTCTCTGTCTCCCCTCCTCCTCTCTATATATCTGCCTTTCTAATAAAAACAAATAAATCTTTAGAAAGGAAGTAGAGCAGGCAAAACCCAAGCCAGTGCCCATTTGGGATCCTGGCATCACCAGTGGAGGCTTATCCTCTAAGCCCTCAGCCCCTTTCCTTCTACTTTTGCATGAACCTTTGGAAGTCCTGCCACAGGAACTACTGAATGTCCATGGATGCCATTCAGCCCCTGGGCCCCAGGCACTCAATAAACTGTTGACTTGATTACTGATTTTCACATGTCTAGGACAGGGTTAAATTGTATGCAGGATAGTGTGAGCTGTTAATTCCACTTGGGCAAAAATTCACAATCAGCTAGAACTTTTACAAATGCATGAAGCATGGAGGACGTGTGAGGCATGAAGGTGGATACCGAGCAGATGCACTGAAACAGGACTTTGTTCCCACGGAATCTCTGCTGACTGAGCCTCAAGTGAGACACAGAAGCACTTTGTGCTGGTCCATCATTGTATGTTGTGAGAGGCTGTTACGTAAGTGACATTTTGGTGGCCTGGGAGCTTTTAGGATCTCCGTAGGGAAGGGCATTGGGCTGTTCTCCAAAGCCATAGGGTCCAGCCACAGTGTTTATTAGGTTAGGGAGAAAGCGTCCCGAGATATCTATTAGAGCCAGAGCCGTGGGGCTGGAGAATGGACGGACATGTACAACTGCAAGACATAGATAAATGAACTATAAAGATGGAGCATGTGCGCCAACTCTCATAGTGTCTGAGCAGCATTTCATAAGGCTGGTAGTCTGATTCTTGGACATCCTGCAGTGAGAAAGGAGCTAGTTGTGTTTGTTGAGTGACAAGCCCTGGTCCTGGGTATGAGCACGGGGTCATTTCTCCAGCTGATCTCCTTCTGCCTGCCCCCGTGTCTCGCTCCTCTCCACGGAGCTGTTAGCCCTCAGTCCCCTATGCTGCATGCCTGCCCAGACCAAACAGGCTTTTTCCAACAGCCTAGCACCTGGCCTTGCTGAGACCTGCAGAGTAGGAAGTTCCTACAGGTCAGCTGCTCCAGCCTGTTGCTTGGATTTGGTCCTGACCCCTGCACCTGTGTAGAAAAGGCATATATGACTGATCTCAGAGATGTTCTGAATTAAGTCACTCTTGCATGGGGAAGACGTCTCACCCAGCCATAGGGAAAACAGAAAACCCCAAACTGACCTTCTGCCACCTGGGTTATACTGTGAAGCCATGCTTGGTTGTGATGTCCCCTTAGAGTGCTTTAAGGGAAGGGCAGCTCTCATACACCTTTGCCTCCTGGCACTGAGCTATGGCTGTGGGTGTTCTTGGTTCATCTCATTTTGAACCACCTCCACCACACGCTGCTGTGACCAGAGGACACCCTGTTCCAAGTTACTGGTTAATGCTTCATTAATCCCTCAGCCACAGCTCAAGTTTGCAGTTAAGCATTTCAGAGACAGGCTTCAGGTGCCTCCTCACACTAGTCTTAAATCCACCCTCATGGGGCCAGTCTTGTAGTGCAGCAGCTTAAACCCCTACCCATCTTGCTGGCATCTCCCATTGGGGCAAGTTTGCAAACTGGTGGTTGCTCTGCTTCTGATCCATGCACCTGGGAAAGCAATGGAGGATGGCCTAAGTACGTGAGCCCCAGGCACCCACATGGAATACCCAGGTGGAGTTCCTAGCTCTGGCTTCAGCCTGGCCAAGGCCAGGCTTTTTGAAAAACTCCCAAATCAGTCGTCATGAAAGAAAAGAATACCCAAAGCCAGCACAAGAAAATGGGCAGTAGGCTTGGTGGTTGAGGGGCCCTGCTCACTGCCCTCTGCCATGTGTGTGCAGATGTAACAATGGACAGAGCAGGTGCGACTGGGACTGGAGGTGTGGGGCTTCTCCTGATGAGACATACCTGACCTCCTGCAAGGCAGACGGATCCAGCATGAGTGTGTGGGTTTGTGTGAAGTGTGCTTGTGCAGTGCACCCCAGCCTGAGTGTGCTGATGACTTGTGCGTCTGTTTTGTCCCCTACAGCACGTGTGGAGTGAGAGCGAGGACTGCCTGCCTTTCCTGCAGCTGGCACAAGACTACATCTCATCCTGCGGCAAGAAGACGCTGCATGAGGTCCTAGAGAAAGTCTTCACGTCCTTCAGACCCGTAGGTGTCTGCCCCGCATCACTGTGGCCTGGAGCCACATGGGTGGTGGGGAGAGTGGGCCCTGAGCACAGGATGACTAATTGTTTTTCTCTTGTCTGCCCTGTGGTTTAAAGATAGCAGCCAGGGGAGGGGGCGGGAGGAGGGGGACAGGATGTGACACAGCTGTTTGTCGCGGAGCTGGCGGATATTTCTAGCATCCCTTGAGTTGAAAGTTCCTAGTAGGTTGGGATGCGAACAATCCTTGTGTGAGACCGTGGAGTGTTCCTGTCCAGGTTCCCATGGCTCTGTTCTCACAAAGGGGCTTGCCTGCTGCACATTCCTGGAAAGACCTACCAAGCTTGCACCTCCGTGATGGATGGACCTGGATCCTGTTGCTACCCTTGCTTCCTTTTCCAGAGTCTCGCTGGCTTGTTTTCCATCCCTGTCGGGACTGAGCACTTCTATCTCCGTAGTGACAGACAGCCTGTTTCCACTCCGGCTGATAATTGTGTGGAGTGAAAGACCACCTTGGGTAGGGAAACAAGCTCAGACTCAGCACATCCTCTCGTCTGTGCACCTGACACAGAGGGCTTCTCTGTCCTCGGAGGCTATTGTTAGGGCACCAGCAGAGTGGCACTGCCTGCCTGGAGGCAGTGTCAGGTCCTTTGAATTTTGAGACTTGGCCCCCAAGACTATCCCCCTGGTCTCCTGTGCCAGTGTGAGCTACAGATGGTTTTCTTTTCTCTCTCTCTTTCTCTCTCTCTCTCTTTTTAAAATAAAGATTTAGTTATTTTCATTGGAAAGTCATATATACAGAGAGGAGAGACAGATAGGAAAATCTTCCATCAGCTGATTCAGGTTCCACGTGGCCACAGTGGCTGGAGTTGAGCTGATCTGAAGCCAGGAGCCAGGGGCCTCCTCTGGGTCTCCCATGTTGGTGCAGGATCCCAAGGCCTTGGGCCATCCTTGACTGCCTTCCCAGGCCACAAGCAGGGAGCTGGATGGGAAGTGGGGCTGCTGGGACACAAACAGGTGCACATATGGGATCCCGGCTTGCGCAAGGCAAGGACTTTAGCCACTAGCTACCACGCCTGACTCCAGATGGTTTTCCTAGTGTTCTGATCAGCTGGCTGTCTATTGGGGTTCCCAGAATTCTTCTCAAGTTTGTCTCACATGCTAGAGTGGCTCCCAGAACTTGGGAATCCCCCATGGGTCTGTCATGAAGGACAGAGGCTGCAGAGGAAGGGGTGCACAGAGGAGTGGAAACACTGCCCTCCTGGACCTTCTACACTCCATGTAGAAGGGTTTGTGTCCCTGCAAACCCTTCCCTTTGGATCTTGATGGAGCTGTCACTGCATAGACATGACTGGAGCATGGACAGTTGAGATGTGAGTGGACGCACAGGGTGACCTGAGGCTGGCGTTCTGGAAGCCTGGCAGAGTTTGGCTACCTGGGCAGCTTCCTACCCGCCCCCCCAGGAGGCTGGGGCAGGACCCCTGCTGAAATGGGGGTCATGTGATCTGTCAAGGACAGCAGAACAAAGCATTTCTTTATGGTCAGCAGGTCCCAGTCAGGGTCAGGGCAGAGTCTCATGTCCAGAGATGAGAGATACTAGCCTGCCTAGGACAAATAAGCAGCAGGTGGAAGGCCAGAGGCCAGAGAGCAAGAGACTTGAGGAGCCTGCAGGACCCCAGATTTATTCTAGTCACCTAGGAAATAGCAAGAGCTGTGGCAAGGCTGAGCTAGGAGCTGTGGGGAAAAACCAAAGATATCACTCCTGCCTCACCCTGCTGTGTTGATAATGGACCTAGTTCCCTGTTTCCTCACTGGAAGATGAAGTCAGATTGCTAGTGTCACGTTTCCCCCAAGTCCATTCGCTTGCCCACCACAGGCACTTGACATGCTCAATAACATTTGCACTAGAATTGTTCATTAGTTATCTTCAAGTTGTTTCAGTTGCGATCTGCTCTGCTGAGATGCCCAGGCCTGTCTCACATTGAATTTGGTTGTCATTGCTGCCTGATGGCCTAAGTCTGATACTCTGCTGTCTCACGGTTCATAGGTCTGTTTAGTTGTGTTTTTGCTCATTCTCACTCCTGGCATCTTGCTTCTTGGTGTGTTTGTATCAGTTCTGTGTGTGCACTGAACTATTAGGCCCAAGGTAACAACATCTTCTGCCAGACAGAGCTTAACGTGTGCAGATGTGGCACGATGCACTCCTTTCTGCCGTTTCTTTGGTCTGCCCAGCTGTTAGAGTAAGCTAAGAATGCAGTGAAGCATCAGGCTGTGTCTCGCATGTCAACCAATACCCTCAGGACTTGAGCTGCATTCATGTTAGGCTTGCCTTTCCAGGTTCTAAATTCTTCAGCATATTTTTATTTATTTGAAAAGCAAAGTGACAGAGAAGGAGAGATAGTTGAAACAAATTGCCCATTCATTGGTTCACTTCCCAAGAGGCCAAAGCCCAGAGCCAGGAACTCTATCCTGGGTTTGAGGCATCTTGCAAGTTAAATTAAATCTGAAGACGATCAGGTTCAGGCCTGGCATTGTGGTACAGTGGGTTAAGCCACTGCCAGCAATGCCAAAATCCCATACGTGTGCCAATTTAAGTCCCATCTGCTTCATTTATGATCCAACTCCCTGCTAATGTACCTGGGAAAGCAGCAGAAGATGGACCAAGTGTTTGAGGTCCTGCACCCATGTGGGGAGACCCAGATGGAGTTCCTGGCTCGCTCCTGGCTTCTTCTTTCATTAAAAAAATTTTGATGATTTTTACCTAGCTGATCAAGGTGGGAAGGATCAAGAATTAGGGGAAAGAGAGTGAGAGCATTGTTTCCAACTTTCTTTTTCTTTTTCCTATCTGGGGAAAGAAGGGAGACAAGTAGAGAAGCCGCACCCAGCCTCCCACCATCTTAGCACCCAGGGTTGGGGAATGGCCACTCGATATCAACCTGGGATCCCCAATGTGGAGCTTAAGTGGTTTCAGTAGTTGTGAAATGCTGTCAACCTCTCTGATTCAAGGATGAGAAAATCCTTTCAAGGTCCATTGGCTGACACAGTCTACCTTAAGAGTCTCCATTCACCCAGATATTTGCTGCCAACACTTGGCAGAGGTAGTCTCCAATTTGTTCTGCCCTCCTTCCTCTGCTGTGGTACCAAATGTCCTCTGCAGGCCCTGATTGACTGCTTTATCCTCCATGTGCCTCTGGGTATGCTGTCCACTGCTCCATTATAGCCACTGAGGAGGCCCAGCTCTGACACATTCACTCTAACCTTGGCTCCACCAATCCTGCAGTTCTCACCACAGTTGGAGTTCTGAGTTCAGCGATTCAATTGGGGGGTCCCCAAAAAGACCTTGTCTGAGGTGATCCTAGAGCTGATTCTTGTGTGTGCTTGCCAGTACATGGTCTGGCTCAGTCTTTTACCCACATCAGCCTACGCACACACTGGCAGTTAGTTGCAGTTGCCAGATCGATTCTGTCTGCGGCTCCTTCTCCTACACAAACCAGTGGATGCTGCAGCCCAGACCAACTCAGCCCTCATGTACACCAGCAGGTACTATGATTGGAGTGACCCCAATAATTCCCTCCAGGCCCACCCCCAGCCCTGGTTCCTGTGCTTGCCAATATGTGGAACAGACTGGTCCGGTCAGTCCCATATCCCATTCAGCTCTTATACACATTAATGGGCATTGAAGCCTAGCTCAACCCAACCAACCCCATTATCCAGTGCACACTCATGCCTGTGGGTTCTACTGCCTGTCTAGCCAAGGACTTCCTCAGCCCTTGTCCTCGTGCTCACCAGTGGGAGTTGCAGCTCATCAGAGAGGTGTCCACTCTTTCCTTACTAGTCACACTCTCATTCCTGAATCTTTCACTCTCTGGGTGGTTTTGTAGTCTAGCAGGCCAAGAGGTGTCGTAGCCTTGCCCATCATGGTCTACCCTCAGTCCCAATTCTCGTGGGAACAGTGGCCCAGTAGGAGAGCCCACACTGTACCCCTACCAGGCTCTTACCCTTCTCCCTGGGCGTCACATGTATCGGTAGGTGCTGTGGCTCAGTCTGGCATAGCCCATCTAACTTTGTCATTTGCCAGTGGCTGCTGTAGCCTGGCCCGGCCTGTTCTGCACCCGATTCCAGCTCATACTGGTGGGTGCTGCAGCCTACCCCAGACCAGCCAACGTCTAGTCTTGGCTCTAATGTGAGCTGGCTGGTGTTGTAGCCTGCCCCAGCCTGTCCTGCGCCCCATCCTGGTTCTCAGATCTGCCAGCTGGTTCCAAGCCCAACCTCTGCTGTTGCAGTTACCTAGGGAGCAAACTAGTAGATGGATAGAGATTTCTCTATCTCTGCCCTACCTCTTCCCTGCCTACATATCATTCTGCCTTTCAAAAATAAATAAATAAACTTCTTTTTTGAAAAGTTAAAGACATCATCAATAAAATAAGAAACTCAGTTCCCCTACATCTTAACTAGGAAAACTACCAGGCAGCATCGTTCACTCTGCAGCTGCTTCCCCACCAGGGGTTCATTAGCTACCGTCAGCTTCTCTTCCCACAGCTGTTGCCAAAGCTGGCAGCCCAGATCCCTGTGGTACAGATGTCCCAGCCGGGATGCAATGTGTGTGACTGCTTTTCCTTACCAAGTCTGTGTCTGTGTTTTGACCATCAGGAAGCCACATGTAAAAGGGGGCAGGGTGGAATGCAGCAATATTGCGGAAAGCAGCCGGGTTGGCTGAGTGTTGTCTTGTGCCTGGAGCTATGTGTGCTGCGTGGGTTTGACTAGATGCTACTGGGCTTGCTGGTTTCCATTGCAAAGCAGAACTTCTCCAGCTTAGTGCATGTCCTTGCTGGCTGGGCTCTGCCTCTGGACCAGGGAAGCAGAGGTGCCTCTTTCTGGTTGGTGAAGGTAAAGTACACCTGGCCACTGAAGTACATGCCTAGTGATGGGATCACAAACCCCAGTAAAAGACCATGCAGCTCAGAGGGCAAGCTTTCATCCACTCTGTCCCCACTGAGAATGAAAGCACAGGAAAAGGTTGTGTGGCTGTGTCGTTGTGGACAGAACATGTTAAAGACAGGCTGACCTAGTGCTGCCAGGCTAAGGGGCATTGAAAGGCAGCCCATCATTTCCCTGGGAACAGGTGCTAATACCACCAATCTGAGCAGCCATGCTTTGCTTCTCAGGGTGTGGCCCGAGCAGCAGCGGTTTTGCCTGCATTTGGGAACCACTGCCTCCTCAGCCACCCCAGACCACCCCATTGCCCATCCCTGTCACCTAGCTGCTCACAGTCTTCTGGGTCTTGCTGACCCACAGGGTCCCTGGCATCTGCAGGCACTGCCATGAGCAATACACATGCTTCTTGGCTGCCACTCAGTAGACTGCTGTGGCAGGGTGATGCCCACAGGGAAGTCCAGTTGTCACTTGTGCTCTTGTCCCTTCAGGAATCTGGTGAAATGAGATCGTGACCACCAGACTTGCTTGCTTATGGTTTTAAATTTTTCTTTCTTCATTTGAGATGTAGACATGTTTCTCGTACGAGTGGTGGGGGCCCAAGCACTAGAGCCATTGTTTACTTCTTCCCAGGGTATACACTGGCCAGGAATTTGGCATCATGGCATTAAACCTTGGTGCCCTGATAGCATACGTAGTCATCTTAACTGGTGACTAGGCCAAATGCTCATCTCACACATGTGAGTTTTAATGAAAGACATTAGATGTTGGGAAGTTTATTGTGGCTTATTACTTATGGTATGAACGTTGAAACCCTTGTGCTTTGTAGAAAGTACAGCGGCTCCTGCCCAGAGAGCGCCTGCTGTTCTTGCCGGCTGTGGTCTTACAGCCTTCTTGCCAATTACCTCGTTTTTTTGGCATGGTGGCTGATATGCCATCTGGGCCACCTTCACCCCATGGCAGAGTGCTTGGGTTCAGGTCCTGGTTCCACTGCTGAGTCCAGCTTCTTGCCTGTGTGCACCCAGGGAACTTTAGTGATGGCCCAGGGACCTGAATTCCTGCCACCCATGAGATGCAGGACTGAGTTCCTCGCTCCTGGCTTTGGCCTGGCCCAACCCTGGCCAGTGTAGACATCTGGCGAATGAAGCAGTAGATCTGCCTGTACTGTTTCCCTGTCTTTCAAGTGAATTTTTAAAATAAAACAAACAGGGCACACTGACCTCCAGGATGATCTCATCACAGGTCTTGGGAGTATCAGCATGAGGTCATTGATCATTAAGACCAGTGGTGTCAACCTGCTCGGAATGCTATGTGGCCTCCTTCCTCCAAATGTGGCTCCTGGACTAGCAATGTCCCTGTCACCTGGGAGCTGGCTGGAAGCATAGAAGCAGCTCCTGCCAGAGCCCACTGATGCTGACTCCACATTGTAGGTAGATCTGAGGGTGATCCACTGGGTAAGCAGTGGAGAGGAGTCTCCTGAAGGAGTGTCCAGAGACCTTTGAAGCCACCACTGAGTGACCACTGTCAATGCCCATTGCAGCACCTCCTCCCCTCGTTGTACAAGCACCTGAGGTGTGACAGTGGGCAGCAGGGACTGGAAGCAGCTCTCCGAGGAACTCTCCTGGCTGTGTCTCCCATTGACTGTCGCTGCTTGCTCTGAACAGGGGAGTGTATGGGGCTGAGTCTCAGCAGTGGCTGTGGCCTGGCTTGCACAGAGGTGCCTGAGGCATCCAGAGGCCACCGGGACCCACTCCTCTTCTGTTCTCCCTGTGTCAGGCCAGGGCAAGAACTCTGGGAGGTGCAGACAGAGCACTTCCCTTCGTAGAGAAGAGCCTTTTGGGGCCCATGCCTTGGGCCTGTGCACTTTGGGTTTCCTGCCAAGAGATATAGAGAGCTGGGAGGAAGGGCAGGGATGGGAAGTGGAAGTGGCTCTCTGGCTTGCTGCATCCCCATCCATACCATCCTAAGCTGAAGGGAGAGCTCAGTCTGCGTTGGTGTGACTCAGCCAAGTGTATGCTGAAGAACTGTCAGGCATAGCTTTTGTGGACTCTGAGGGCAGACACATAGATACACGCCTCTGCTGTGGCTGCTTTATCTGTGCCAGCCATTGCTGGTCGGTCCTGATGTTTTCCCCTAAACCCAGAACTCAAGGCAGCCAGTCCAACCAGACCTGTTGTTGAGCAAGGCAAAAAACAAAGGCCAGTTCTTATTTGTATTCCCTATTCAGTACAATGAATGGTTGTATTTTTTTATTGAATTTCTGCATCTTCTTTTGGCATTTCCATGATATTGTAACCACTTCTTTAAATGTTACCTCTCGTTGTCTACTTATGGCGTACATCTTTACTCCTGGGGCCATCATTGAGGTACAGTGAATTAAGCTGCCACCTACAATACCAGCATTGGTTCAAGCCCTGGCTATTCTCATTTTCATTCTCTCTCTCTCTGCCTTTCAGATAGATAGGTGGATACATCTATTGGGTAAATTGAAAGATCTTAAAAATAATGACCACCAAAATAGCAGTTATTTGTATTATGACCAGCTAGCTCTTCTCTAAGTAAGTTAAGGCAAACTTTAACTTATTTGTTCACCCACTACAGCGTGCAGCACCCGCCTTAGTGAGAAAAAGAGCATTGTCCCCAAGCTGACAGTGCCTCTTTGAGGCAGCTACAGTGAGCTGAGCTCAGATGATGCATCCTGCAGTTGGCTGGGCATCGCTGGCAGGCTGTGTATGTAATGTGACCAGCACTGCCTGGCACAGGAGTTTGTCCTGTGTTGGCCTTGCCTCTTCCTCCCCCAATCCTGGAGAGTGGCGTTTGGGGAACTTTTGATTGGAATTCTGCTCATCCTTTTCCCATGTTTAAGCAAGAGGGCCCAGGATGGCAGGTCGCTAGGGAGGCAGTACAAGGAAAACAGTATGGACCTTTTTTGGAGTTGGTTTCATTAGGGTCCCTCTGTGGAGTGGCCTGAATGTAATCAGCCTAGCAGCTCCTTGGTATAATGGTCTTTCGACCACACCCATGCCCAGGGATATCACAGACCAAGGGAGCCGACCCTCAGGAGACTTGCGGCTGGCTGCGGCACCAAGTGCTGCTCCATTTGGATCTGCAACCTTGGGTGATCTGCCTGCCTGCTGTCCGTTTGGTGCTCACAGCTGCTTCTGCCTCCTCTCTCCCTGCAGTTACTGGGGCTTCCGGATGCAGATGACGATGCGTTTGAGGAGTACAGCGCAGATGTGGAAGAGGAGGAGCCGGAGGCGGACCACGCCCAGATGGGCATCAGTCAACAGTAACTTCCCAGGTCTCCCTTGGAGGAGGGAGGAGAGTGAGCCTGTGGTGCCCGAGGCAGGGTCGCGTGCACCTCGAAACTGGACGCCCAGTGCCCAGCATCCAAATGACAATGAAACACCTTCCTAATGACCAGCAGATGCCTGTGACGAGCTTTGCTCAGAAGTGACCCGAGTCTCAGCCCTGCTGCAGAGGGGTTTCCATGAAGCTGTCTTGGTCGCCTCTGCCATCTTGAACTCTGAGTCCATCGTGGCCGGCTGTCCTTCTGGGGCTTGCTTTGGGAAATCCACATTTGCTGACTGGAATGTAGGGAACTCTGTAGGGTGACCACATGTGTGACCTTCCTGGGGAAAAGCATGGCAGAGGGAGATGCAGTCTGCACTTTGTACATGTTCAGTGTCTGTAAGTGGAAGGTTTTGCTCATAAAGCATGAGTTTGAGTATCTGATCATGAAACTGCAAATACAAGGGCGGGGAAAAAGAGAATCGCTTAGCTTTGGACCAAGAGAGTAGATGGGGCCTCAGAGAAGCCTTGTAGTGTTTTTGCCGCTGTTAAGTTCTCTGGGTGTGCATGTGCCGATGGTGCGTTAGTTTTAGGGAGCAACGCTGCTTGCTTGTTCATTTGTTTCAAAACATGCTAAGTCCAAAGCTGCTGTTCCAGTCTACAGGTGGAAACCCTGAGTGGGGTGAGAGGCACAAATCACTGACTCCTATAAAATACTGTGAATCTCCCGTCCGGGAAGTGGGAGGCTTACCTTTTCTCTTAGAATGAGATGGCAACTTCCAAAAAAAATCATGAAAGCATCCAGAATCCAAGTAAGTGCTGCTTAAACTTTGAAGCCATAGATAAATTTAGTAGGAAAATAAACCAGGATTAGAAAGCTTTTCAAAATATGATGGAATCATCTTTTACTTTCTTAACCTTGTATTCTTTTTTTCAAAAAAAAAAAAAGTCAAGAAAAGGATTCCATTGTGCAAATTACTAAAAAAAATTGCAATCAAGTACAATGAGGGACCTAACTGCAATGAACTTTAGGGTGGAAACACCGGGAGGCCTCCAGTCATCAACAGATGTTTTCTCATGTTTACCTGGGACTTTCTGTTGCCCTCTTCCTGTGCCCTTCCCGCCGCTGTGGGCCTGCTCACTCAGTTTGTGGGATTGCTCCCTGATGTACCTGCCTGTGCCTGGCACCAGGGTGGGAGGATCACAGCCACATATGCGCAGATTTCTGGCTGTCAGATTTCTGAGTAAATAATCTGTGACTGCAGAAGCCACAGAACTTCACAGGAGCCTTGTGGGTCTTGCAGGCACCACCAAGTATACCCAGTTGGCCCAGCAGTTTCTATTTAATTGATTATGCTACAGTTTTAGAACACTGGGTAGAATAAATCAATGGTTCCCATCGATGCCTTGGGCCCACTGCTTATTTATTTTTTTTTATTTCCTTGGAAAAACATGACCAACATTCATTTCCACCCCGTCAGTTGGGGTGGCACTGTCAACCCTTCACTGTCCACCTGTGTCATGACCAGTTATGCTCATGAACTGAGGTCACAGTGAGGCTGTTGATTGTGGAAAGACCCCCTCCCCCCGCCAGGCATGGTGACGTGCACTTGAGCACAAGATGGCTTCCGCAACCGAAATGTAGAAACAGCCCCTCCCTGAGCCCTTGGAGGGTCAGCTGGAGTTGGGTCCCTTGAGGCACAGACCCCAAAGTTGATAGGGATTTGGCAATGGAAGGGATGTTTGTATAAAGTATATTGTGTCACAAAAGTGTTTAGGCTGTAACCAGATACATCTTGGTGTTATTGTGTTAATGTTGTCTGTCAGTGAGAGTGGAGCTGAGACAGAGCAGGCTATTCTATGGGCTTATGAGAAGTCTGTCTTTGTTCTGTCCCGGGCATAGGTGATGCAGAAAACCCCTGTATGTTACTTGCATCCCATGGCAAAAGCCCAGAGGGATTAGCTAATTGGGTTGTTTCCTCTAAAACTTTGTTTTCTATGACGTATCTCTCCGAGTGTTCTCACACACACGTGCACACACGTGCTCTCTCCTGCACATTGCTTTTAGTATAGCACAAAGCTACCTTGTGTAGCTCTGCCTGTGGCCAGTCTGTGAGGCCTGGCAGTCCACGGTACCTGTCCCAGAAGTGGCTCTGTGGTGAGACAAGTGACACACAAATGTCCCTGGGAGAGGTTGCAGTGAGGTGATGGCTGAACACGGGCCCTGGAACAGGGAATGCAGCTGATCTCTGGTCCCAGCTCTGCTGGTGAGCAGATGGCGTTAAAGACTCCCATCTCACTGGATTGTGAAGCAAGGGCTGTTGGCCTTACCAGCTGTCAGAGCTGCCTGTGCTATCCCTGCCTTGTGAAATGTGGCCCTGGGAGCAGCACTTAAGGAGACCCATTTGGTTTGTCGTTCATCCCTAGAATGCTGGCCAGCCTGGAAACTGCCTGGGAACATGTCAGCTTTTGACTGTCCCCACCTGCTAGGGCCTGCACCGCCAGGGCTGTGGGCATTCAGTTCTTTCTTCCAGGGAGGGGGCGGAGTCAGGCTCCGGAAGGCATTGTCTATTTCAGCTGTGCATACCCATCTGTGCATGCTTCTGTTTGTGTTCTGACACGGGCTTGACACAGTGGAGTGTGTTCAGCTTCAGCAAGAGGGAGGACTGCATGGAGAGTAGGGAGTGACAGGCGAGCTGTTTTGTGACTTGACTTTTTGTTTTGCTTTGTTTTGTTTTTCCCATGCCAATAAGTGGCAAGAGAGTGATAGGGGAGCAGAGTGTGTGTGTGTGTGTGTGTGTGTGTGGGTGTGTGTGTGCGCGCGCGCGCGCGCTCTTGGCTCCCTGTGGGCCAGGTGTAAGGGCTGAAATCAGGCCAGGTTGGCATCTCAAACCCTGGCTCCTGGATTTGAGTGAGTCTCAGAGACTTTTTCTTCTGGCTTCCTGATCACCTCCCTCATCCTGTCAAACAGACTTCAAGAAAATATGGAGCCAGGGAGGGAGAGGAGGGCCCCCGAGGTGCCTGGCCAGTAGGAGTACAACGTGATGTCTTGTTTTCCAGAGCACAAAAGGTCTTCTGCCTTGGAGCCCTGTTAGTGTACTGGGGCCAGGGTTAGGTCTCTTTGCTGGTGATGACCGTGCCAGCTGAAGCTGTTCTTTATAACACGGTGGGTCTGAGAATGGTATTTGGTCTTGGTGAAAGCACAAAGTCTTGGGGCCCAGAAAGCCAGGACCCCAGGGCGTTGCTGGAGTTTATTGTTTGGGAATCTGCTTTGTAAGTTAGAATTCACAGGGAAGAAATGAATAAGGAGGGGAAGAGGGCTTGGGGGCTGAGTTTTCTTGGCTGTCCACCAGAGGCCTGGTCTTCTCAAAGGGAAGATAGCTTTGTGAGTTTGACATGCTCCCCAATAGGGGGGACAGCACCCATGCTATGCACCTGGTGGAGTTTTCCTTTATAGAACTGGCTGCAGAGCCACCTACAAGGGGAACTTGAACTTGAACCAGATGTGATTCACTATGATCAGGAGCCTTAGGACAGAACCTTCCTTGCTTCTCCACCACTCTTGAGGGGAATAGAAAGAGCACAACTAAGACCCACATGGCCTGTATTCTCCTTGCCCCTCTATTGAGTGCTGACCCCAAAGAGATACGAGTGCCGGCTGTTAAGTCTGCTGAGAAGCCTACAAAGTGATTTTTTTCCCCCTTTATTGAAACAGAAAAGAATCCTTTTACAAAGATCCTTTCAGTTCTCTTGGTTTTGTGATAACAGGTATGACACGGGAAGCTGGAGGCCTTTAGATTTTATACAGAATACCTTCACTTGGTAGACTGCCAAGACCCTGTGGTAACCAATGGCAGTAGGGTGGCCACGGTAAAAGATCTGTAGCTCCTGCGCTTGGCAAGTTGTTAAATAGCATATTGTTTTATATACCTTATGTCTGGATGGCAGAGATGTGGTACCGAGAGGCAATTCATATTGGAAAACCCACTTTTAGCTCTGTTGGGCCAAATCAACTCAAGTGTTTAAAACTCCACATGAAAGCAACATGTAATTCACCTGGGACCCTCTTTCCCTTATCGGCACCAGGGAAAAGATTGGCGTCTTGCTCGTTGCACACTGCTGTTTCTGGTTTTATTCTTGAGTTTTTGTTACTCACGATCCACCTTGAACCAGGTTTCTTCTGACCCAGGACACTGCCCTGCACAGAAAAGGAGGAGCATCTTCAGCGCCAGGGCAGATGGGAAACTCCCTGCTATCAGGTCATCATCACGTGTGTACAAGAGCAGAGGACCGCCATCCGTAACTGGCAGCAAAAGCAACCAACTATTGTGTTTCGTTTTCTTAGGCCAGAAGTGTCCCCTGTTAGGGGTGTGTGTGTGTGTGTGTGAGCGCACACACACACACGTTTCTTGGCCTTCCTGGTTCCTTTCAGAGAATCCTCTTGTAAATTTCAAAGCTGTGAAATGGGTTTGCCAAAAATTCATCACCCTCTGTCCCATGCTTCCAGCAATGTGCATCCTCTGTCCAACCCCATCTGGGCCTGCCCCTTCCCTTCCCGAGTGACGATCTCACCCAACCATGTCATTACCATACGCTTGCTATTAAAGAGCCTTCCCAACTCCTCTGAGCAGTGCCTCATTTGTTCCTGTCTCCACAGTGCTTGCTCCTGTAATCTGCCCATGGAAGTTAGGTATCAAGGACTGTGGACAGAGATTTTGTGTAGGGGAAGTGGGGAGGAAAGGGAGGTTGAAAGGCTATGGGGGGAAGTGGGGGGTGGGAAAGGTCACAGAAACACTGACATAGATTCGAAGGTTAATAATGTGTGGAGGTGTTAGTGTGTCTTTTCTGATGCTACAGGCAGTATCTAATGCTTTTCCACCCTTCCTTTGAACTGGCATTTTAGAACTTTTCTTCTACCATAAATAGAAATTATTTCTGATACCAGTTTGAAGTCTGTATCTTTCTAGCATTTTCTGGTGTCATGACACTGTTTCTCTTCTAATCTCTTCCTGGTTCCTACCCTTTAGGAAGCAGTAGCATTTATAGGAATGATCTGGGAAATTGGTGTTGAATTCCAGTACTGGATGAAGAATCGGTTTCCTTCTCCAAATCATTGGTCTCTGTAGACTGTTGGACAGGGTTTGAGGCTGGCTTAGTGGGTGCAGCATAGAGAGATGTGTGGGTGTCAAAGAGCTTGCAGTTCCCAGCTGTTAACAGAGATGCATGGCACTGCTGGGCTGCGTGTGAGCGCTGCAAAGCCCCTGCTCTAGGCGAGAGCTGCAGCAGGGTGGGTAGGGCACACAAGGCCTTACCGGTGGGATTCCATGGTTACCACTTCTGATCACTCACAGATGGAGAAGGGGACTTGAAAAACTTCAAAGAGTAATATGACCAAAAGAGATGTTTATTTTGGTACAAAAAAAATTTTTTTTGAAAGCAGGTGTTTTTCACCGTAGTTAAGATACCATATGGGAAATTTGGGAGGGGGTCTGAGTTCCAGTTCCAGCTCTGATTCCAAGTCCAGCTTCCTGCTAATGCACCCACATGGAAGACCCAAATTTAGTTCCCAGTTCTTGGCTTTTTGACCTGGCTGATTTCTGGTTAGTGTGGGCATTTGGGGAGTGAACCGGCAGATAGGAAATTAATGCTTCTCTCTCTTTGTTTTTCTGCCTTTCAGGTAAGTAAAAATAAAAATCTAAACGAATTTTTAAAATGCATGCACAATGTGGTTGCATTATATGTTTTCCAGGAACCATTGAAAGAAGAGAGAAGCCTTGTGTGTTATATAAAACACAGCTGGCCCCTGTGGCGCAGGGCCTAGTGGCAGAGGCACTGCTACTCCCTATCATATGTCATTTATTCTGACCTCAGTGGGTGGAGGGAAAAAGTTCTCACCCACATTGGTCCCAAGCATGTGTCCTCTGCCCCCATCCAGTTGGTTTCCTCATCTGTAAAAAGCAAGTGGGACTCATTTGAGTGTCTAGGGCCTCTGGCATGGTAGGAATGGGGTCGGTAAGGAGGGTGGGAAGCAGTTATCACCAGACTTTCACTCTGGTCTTGATCCCATCTTCACCAGGCTCTGCATTTGCCCAAATGCCCATATCCCCGAATACCGCCTGCTGTCTTCTGCATGTCCCTTCTCCCTGGGCTTGATAACTAGGGGTCAGAGATTACTCTAGCACCAAATGGGGAGTTTTGCATGGGGGGTATATAAAAAGTCGTTTTAACAAGCTTGGTTTCTGTCAAGGTGTGCATGCATGTTCACCGTGCACACATGTGGCTTAAGTCCACTGCAAAAAGGAAAACAAAACCCATTGCCCGGGCTGGGACCCCATACCTGATGTTCTCTCTTGTAGTACCACAGTGGGCACAGCAAAGCCCTAGGGACCCCTTGAACCATCTCTGACCCACCTTTCACCCTTTGTGCGGTAGGAACCAGCCTCACAGACATAGATCTGGCTGGTCCAGGAGACTCTCTTAGCAGTACGCGTGAGCAGTAGCAAAGGTGTTTCTTTCCTCCACATTTTCTGGGGAAATCTGCCATGCTAGGGATTTTTGACAAAGCCCAGAGGTAAAATAACGCTGGCCCCGTGGGATGCTTTTTAATTGGGAACCTCTAGAGGTCAGCAGCACATAAGGAAAGGGCTGGCTGGGTGGGTGGTGGCCATGCCCTTTCCTTGGCAGAGATGAGGAAAGAGAAGGGGCGAAGCAGACTGGGCAGCCTGGCCTTTATGCAGGAACCCTCATGTTTTGTGGCTCATACCCTTGTGCTTCCTTCTCTGGCTGCCACCCCCCTGCATCATGTACTGTCAGCTCAGTAAGCATGCCTTATTAACCAATCCATGCAGGGTGGCGTTCATGCTATTTTTGAGCCAGAAGGTGCGGTGCCTTCTGCTCTGAACAAGGTCAAAGGCTGCTGTGGCTTTGGGGCCATCGTACTTGCCTCTGCTTTATATTGATCTCTGCCAGTTCCCCAGCAACTGCAGAATTCACCTTAGAACCCCAGTCTGGCCCAGGTGA